CGCCCGGGTGTCCGCTAGTCCGCGGCGACGGACGCGCATCTGCACTGCTCGCCTTCGCGCCCGGGATGGCACTCACTTCTAACCGGCCGCACGCTCGCACGACGGCGCTGAACTTTGAAACGGGCGTGCAGCCGCCGCCGCCGCCCTGCCGTGTCACAGACACCGATCCGCGCCCCGACTGGCTACAACTCGTCCTCTCTTGCCACCAGCCACTCCACGGATCGAATCCCGCCAATGCCGCTGACTCCACAAACACAGAAATAAACTGGGCCACCGCCGAATTGGCCGTGTTCCTGCATCCAGTGACAGCCGAGAACGCTACCTTCCTCGGACTCAAGACCGAACCCGTCTTCTTCGCAGCCGGGCCAATCTATATCCCGCAGCACGCAACACTCTTCTTTCAAACTCACAATAAACGAGTCCTCGAACCCGCAAGACTCAAGCTCCAACTCGCCCCGGACGAGGCCCGACCACTCGCCCTCGACCGCACCCCCAACCGGGTAGCCGGCCTCCGTCTCCGCAGACCCGCCTGGGCCAGCTCTCCCTCCTGGATCACCACGCCCTCTTGGGCCACCGCCCCTGACCCCGCGGGTGGGCTTGACCTGGGTCGCCCGGAACTGAGTCGCTCGACTCACCTTCGTCACCCGGACCCCGACCACCTGGCTTCCTCAAATCTCGACCACCCTCCCCGCCCAGAACCCGACCACTCCGATCTGGAGGCGGACCCAACACCCAACGTGCAGTTTGCGCTGGAAGTGCAAGACTACGCCCCATCACCCGCCGTGGCGGCTGTGGAGATGGGGGGCGAGTTGCTGGTATTCCAGCCGTGCAGTGCGCCTGCGGTGACAGGTGTTTCTTTTGATGGCGAACGGGTGGTGGCTCGGGGTGTCCGACGCTCAGGTGCGCGTTGTTTCTTCGCAGCTACATTGCCAGGGGGCCGCGCGCCTGGTGAGGCGGACGTGTTGGCGGCCGGAGAAGCATTGCAGTCGCGAATCGTTAAGCGTTTTGCGCCCTACAACGCGCACGTGCCGCGCGTCGTCGCACAAATCGCACACGTGCGTGTGTCGGACTCGAACGATGGCCCCTCAATCGCACGCATGCCTACCTTAGTGCCGACTATCCCAACCTACGCTGGGCCATCCCCGTTGACCAGGACCAGCTGCCCCTCCTCCCGCCCTCCCGGGCCCGTGTCGGACGCGGCATCGTCGTCCGCGACTTCGACAGGACGGAATACGAGCCGGAAGACCACGACCACGACTACCCGGACCTAGGCCTAGACCAAAACCTAGACTACCATCTAGAGAGCGACCGAATGGGCCTGGGGGATGACCAGCTCGGTCAGGAACGGAATTACTTCTTGGTTGATGCGCAAGAGGAAGTCCACTTTTGTCGCGGCGTGGGGACGAGCAGTCTGGCTCCTTACGCGGACCTGGCGGCGGATGCAACTGCGCCGTCGCCGGAGGGCCCGGAGGCTGCACTGGCAGCGTACTTAACCCGACGACTAGCGGGCAGTTGCGAAGATGTGCGACAGGGACTGGTGGCGCTGCTCACGCGCGAGCGCGGTGTCGGGTATCTGGCGCACGTGGAGCCGGAGCCGACGCGATGGCTGGGCCATCTCGGTCTGGGACTGCCCGCAGCCGCCCACACGCGTCTGCAGGAGTGTCTGCCGCGTCTGGCTGTGCACCAGTCGAACGAGGAGTCGAGCGATTCGAAGGGGGACTTGGATTCGAACGCGGGACTGGCGGGTTCCGAGTCAGTGGTGGGAACCGAATCGACTACTGGCGCCGAGCTGACAGCGACGGTATGGCTGCACAACCGGCAGGAGCGGTACTGGGTGGAGGAGCGGCGTTGTCAGCTGGACGCCGTGGATTTGGGGTTGGCTCGGCGCGCGTTCTATCTCGCGGTTTTGCGGGACCCGGTTTTCGAGCCGCGCGAACTTGTGCGGTGGCTGTCGCTGTTGAACCTGCCCGCGTGTCTGCGCCGTCTCGCTCTAGTTCGTGCGCCCGCCGGGGGTTGGACCTGGGCTACTTGGGACGCCTGGCTCGAGAACACACGCCTGGCCGACTTCGACCGGAGATCGGACTCCGGACCGGACACACCCGCGTTCGAATCCGATCCAGGGAGCGACGAGCCAACTGCTGTACTCTGTGGGCGGCACATCGAACGCCTCCACTACCTTGGCCAACCTACTCACGCCGTGCGCCTCCGAGTCCGCAGCCACTCACGTGTGCAACTTGTCGACTGCTCCCTTGACCTCTTCCTGCCCCTCACCTCCCTCGGCCCCCTTGAACCCGTCTCGGATGAGCCGGAAGTCCGGCTCTTAGACAACTCTGGACTTACGGACGACTCCGAACTTATGGACGACTCCGAACTTAGGGACGACTCCGGCCTGCTCGCGGGTGACCCGGCCGCGGAATGGAACGTGGGCACGTTGTACGATCCCTGGCGTCGCGGCTACGTGCTGCAGGCCGAGCTCTCACCCGCGCTCTGGTCGCTCCTCGCACTGCCGCCGGCCGCGACAGCCTCCACCGCCCTCGCCAACAGCCGCGCCTTCCACACCGTCAAGGACCTGCGTCTTCGCTCACATGAGCTCCGTCTCATCCGTCTAGACCCCGACCAAACCGACCTCGAGACTGGCGAGACAGAGACCACCGGAACTCAAACCACGACCACCCCAGTCGCGACCATCCCCGTCGCGACCACCTTAGCCACCACCACGACCACTTCCACTGTGGCCGCGCGGCGGTTGTTGGAGCAATCCCCGAACGGCGCCACGTTGTATGCCGTACGTCGTGGCGGGTCAGGTGGTTTGGTTGTGGCAACGCGGCGCGCGACAGGCGACTGCAGTTCATTCGTGCACTCTCCGCTCACGGTGGCGGCGGAAGCGTGTGTGGCACTGCCCCACGCGCTGCTCTTCCCGCGGGATCTAGGCCGGGGTTCGGCACTGATCACACGCACGGGCGAGCTGGTCCCCATCCACCAGTCACCGGGCCCAGTCCCGGTGACGATATCCGCCGACCGCAACCCTCCCTCCCCGGAAGAAACGTTGTTTTCGAGATCGTTGGGACTGCCGGTGTGTTTCCCGGCTGTGGCATCACTGTGGACGAACGCGTTGACGGGTCCTATATGTCTTACACATCTGGGACACGCGGCGGCGCACACGGTGCTCTGTTGCGAGGCGGCGTCGCGGCCGCCGGGCGCGTTGTTGCCACCAGCGCCGGCGCTGGCACACGCGGCGGTGGCGGCGCCCGCGGGGCCGAGTGCGCAGCCTGCGCTCTATCTCTTCCCCGCGGCGCGCGGTCGTGGGGCGTTGGCGCTCTCGAGACCCGAGCCGCGACTTGTGCGCCTCACCTTCCACGGCGCGCGTCCGCACTCGGAACCCGCAACCCGCGCGTTCGACGCCCTCGGCCGCCCACTCGCCCTTTCCACCCTACGTCCGGTTGAAGAATCCTGCTCCGTCGTCGGCGCCACCACCCTCCAGGCCACCACCGACGGAGACGTCGCTCTCCTCGAATACAATGGCCTCAAAATGCGCTGGACTGACGTTCTAAACACGTCCGCCATCTTAGCGTCATCTTGGTCCTCCTCCTGGACCGACAACACCCTTCTCTGGACCCCCGCCCTACAGAGGCCCGCCCCATCCGGTCCCGCCCCATCCGGTCCCGCCCTACAAGGTCCCTCGGGACTCCGGTTCGGGACCCACGGCAATGTGTGTGGGTTCGAATCTTGCGTGGCGCAGTTATGGTGTCCCGTCTGCGAAGTCGACCTCAGCACTGCCCTCGCCGCCACCCGCACACGTCTGGCAACCCCCGCCGATCTGGATCGCTGGTTTTGCGCCACCCGCACGTACCCAAACCCAACCTTCCAATCCAGTCCTGACCCACTGGGCCAGGCCCCACGGGCCGGCCAGGACCCACGGACCGGCCAGGACCCACGGACCGGCCAGGACATACGGAGCTACGACCAGGACCTCAAGATGTTGCTCCAGAGCCCGGTCGTGCTCTCCTGCGGTACGGAGCCGGAGACACTCGCGTTCCGGCTGCTGCAGGATTTCCTCGGTCTCCGGCCCGACGGCACGTTCCGGTCGGTGCAGGGCCTTGCCAATTACCTCGCCCTGCTCGCCGCGACCTCCGACAAGCCTGGTTCTGACAAAACCACTTCCGTCAAACCTGGCGCTTCCGTTCAACCTAGCGGGTCGCAGTTCGTAGCAAAGTTGATGCGGCACATGCCGCGGTTGAGTGACTACGACGAGGCGGCGGAGCTGGCGGTGATTCTTCAAAAGTTCGAGACCGATGCGGTTTCGTTGGAAGGTCCCGGTTGGACGTTCGCCGCCGGCGTGTTGCACTGGACCTCACCGCCCACCAGTCGTGCGGAACTCCGCGCGGCTGTGCGCTCCACACACCCTACGGAGGTTAATACCGCTTTCTTGTTCGGACCTGTTTGGGCCGACCTGGCTTCCGTTCCAGGGCTACTAGGCCCCGCTTCGAATGCCGTCTCCGGTTCGAATGCCGTCTCCGGTTCGAATGCCGTCTCCGGTTCGAATGCCGTCTCGGGTTCGAATGCTGTCTCGGGTTCGGGTGCCGCGGTTACTGTGCCTGAGTGGGTGTTGCAGTTGCACAGCGACGTCGGGGGTGTGGCAATAAACCCCGCGTCGGCGTATGTCCGGCCAGTGTATCACACGTCTGCGGGGTGGGCGTTCGGTGGTCCGGGTTCGGCGGCACTGTACTACGACCTGTACGCGATTTTGAGCGAGTTATATCCAGGTCGTTATCCGAGTCGTGAGCGGTTGGCGCAGTCTGGTGCACTGGGGCCGGTGACGTTGTTGGTTTTGATTGCGGGTGGTCTTTGGTTACAGGAACACCGTGCGCATAAGGCCTTGGCCCAGGTCTGGGCCGAGGAAGACGACGACGAACCACCCTTTGGTGTAGAACCAAGTACGTCAATAGAGTCTGAACCGGTGGTGGTGCATCCGGTGAAATGGAGTGCGGAATCGTCAATGCGGGATGCGCTACAGCCACGACGACGGACGCTGTTGGTGAGACTAGGTCAGTGGTTGACCCCACGGGCAGCCGTGTGGCGATTGGCCACGACTGTGGAAAGAAAGTTGTGGGTATTTGCCGACCCGGAAGAGGAAGATTATTATGAATACCTTTGTTTCGAGCAGGGTGCCGATTGGACACAGCTTCCTTCGAATTTGGTGGCAACGCTGCGGGCGGATCAGACTCCGTTATGCCATGGCGCGCAACTCCTCGCACTCGAACGCGATGCACGCACTGTGCGTCGCACACTATTACGCACACTCGCACATTCGAGCGCACCCGACCGCCGCGACCAACTCGCCCTACAACTGCATATCCACGCTCAGGCCTTCCGCAGAGCCACCAGTCTCCGCGTCAGCAAACTCCTCCTCCAGGCTCTCTCACACACACATGTGTCCTTTCACCACACAGAAGGCGTGCCGCGCACCCACGCTGGTGGGCCGCACATCCGCACTGGTGTGGGTGTGATGTACAAGAGAAAGGAGAAGGAGTGGGCCCGGGTGTCGACGGCGGCCAGTTCGACAGTAGGGCGCGGGTTTACTGCAGGCGAAGCACCGTGGGACGTGTTGCCGTTAGCACACGTGAAGCTAGGCGTGCGTCGTGAAGGCGAAGAAGAGGTGCGCAGTTGCGTGGCCTGGCTCGGGCCAGACCAGACCGAGTTGCTGGCCGTTCCCGAAAGCGAGCTGGTAAAATTGGCTGACCCTCTGGCACCACTAGGACCCGACACTGCCGGACTGTGGCTTGCCGCCCTCGACGGCTTCTTCTCACTACCCGTCGTCTCCATTCAGACGCAGATGATGACCTACGCCGCCGGTGACACCAATTGTCTTCGCATCGCCACCGACCTCTCCACCTACCTACCTGCTTTGTCAACGACCACCACTGACCAAGTGGTGTACGTATACGCTTCGGGAGAGGACCTGCTGCAACTCGAATCCTGGCTACACCGTACGCACGAAACGACAATCATGAAACTTGCCGACGCCCTCGACCTCGCCGTCCCAACAGCTGGCGATCTTACCGGCAACCTGGCGGCCTCCCATCTAGGGGGGCCGGCTCCCGACCCGGGCTACACGTCGGCGGTGGCGGAGTTGTTAGCGAACCCGATCGGCGCGTTGTGTCGACTCGCCGTCCCGGCGGACGAACCCACGTGTTTTGGTCCTGTGCCGTTCCACGCCTGCCCAGCGCTCGTCGACGAGCAGGCGCTGACCAACGTCTGGCTCGCGCCCGATGGACTCCGTCTGCAGGTGCACAAAGGCGCCGCTGAGTCCGACCTCGACCCGCGCACCACCGACGTTACGCCAGTCAACCTCAGCTGCACCCGCGACCTCGATCTCACAGCCGTCCGTCCCGGCTGCTTCCACCCCGATTCGAACCCACGACCAGAGTTCACGCGACCACCAGAGTTCACACGACCACCAGAGTTCACACGACCGCCAGAGTTCGCACGACCGCCAGAGTTCGCACGCTCAGAGTTCGCGCTGCCGCCAGAACTCCACCCGGCGTTCACCACCCAGCCTTGCATGTCTGGACAGAGCTTCGGCTGCCCGCCACGACCGCCCGGCTCTGACGTATTCGCCCACGGCGACGTCTTCACCGGCCCCAGTTACGACGACCGGCTCGGGGGTTACGACCGATGCGAGGGCGAGAGCTACGACGGATGCGGTCCCCGTTACGGTCCCGGTTACGACGACGGGGATGTGGCGGGTCCGGTAGGCGGCTTGTTTGACTTTCTGCCTCTGCCGGACCCGACGGAGTTGCACTGTGGGGGATGGTCACCAGGAGCGGGCGAGCACTGGACGCCGCTGCCGTTCGCGGCCGTGGCGGGGGTGGACTTGGTCGCGGCCCCCGAGCCTCCGGCGACGGCCGATGCGTTGCGTCGTCTGTACTGCCACGCACTCGAACTAAGGCTTTATTCCGGCGAGCGTTTGCTCCTTGCCTTCGGCAGCAGCCTTCTTGCTCGCCAGGCCTACCTGACCCTCGCGGACCGCGTCCAGGCCGAAGGACGGACGGAAGGGCACGACTGGAACCGAGTTGGGTTATCAGATACCCGAGTGGGGTCGTCACCGTTACCGAACGCGGAGTTGAAGGTGAACCGGCACGAGATGTTAACGTCCCTGGGGCTGAATCGGATGTTGTTGGAGAAGGCGAGTCGAGTGCAGCGTGCTCGTGCGCAGCCCCTCGTGCTGTGGACGTTTTTGGTGGGAACGACGCTGCCGATGGTGCGCACGGTGTTTCTGGCCTTCACGACGGGACACGTATTGCTGTGGCTGGCGCTCTGGGGTTTCGGTCTCGAACGCCGAGCAGCCTGGCTCGCTCTTCCCGCGACCGCGCTGCTGCTCTGGGCCCTGGACGACGCCACGCTCGCCGCTAATGACGTTCCCCTCCACTCTCTCGCGCCCGAAACAGTGGGCACCCGCACCTGGGCCAACGGTCTGGCGACCAATAGTATGGCCTCCGTTTTGACGAGCAACTCTTTGCCTGGTTGGGTGGTGGAGTTGAACTACCACCGATTCCGTCGACGCGGATTGCAGGCGGTCCAGTTGGTCGTGTTGGCGGCGAGTGCCGGCGCACTGGCTTTCGTGCATGTGTGGAGCCGTTGGCGAGTCCATTGGCGCTTCCTGCTCGCGGTGCTGCTCCTGCACAAGGCCGTGTGGCCGGCCGTGCGCTTCTTTCATACACTCGCCGTCCTCCACGGCTACCGCCTCGGCCAACAAGCCGCCTTCCGCCACGCCGTTAACGCCTTCGGACCCATTCGCTTCGCCGCGCCACCATTGCCCTGTGCTGCCCGCACCCACCCTCACATCCCCCACACATCCCACGTCCCCACACCCCACACATCCCACGTCCACACCGACTGGGACGCACGCAGCGAACCCGCACACGAACCGACTGACCCCCAACTCAATTTTGTCGCCAGTCTCTACTCACTAACCTGCACCAATGCCTTAGTAGCTTAGCTAGTCAGTCACCTTGATAAACAACCACCACACCGCAAGCCCACAGACAGAATCACATCCATCAAGTAACCTTTCTCTCGCTCCTCCGGTAGGAAAAACAAGCAAGTACAAACCGAACAAAAATAGGTCGTGGCAGACAAACGGGAACAGAGACTAAAAGTGTGCCACTCAGACAGAATTTCGGCAGCTCAGCCTCCTTCTGCATGAGAACAGGTTCGACTCTCGCATGGAACAGGGCGCAGCTTGCCGAGCCGCAAAGCCACGAGAATTTCACCTGCTCGGAAGTGGTCCGTGAAGCTTCCTTCCAGGACCCGGTCCCCGGCGGAGTTGGAGGCGTTGGAGGAGACTGTCTTCGTATTGCCAAAAAGATGTTGGGATGTCCCTCGGGCGTAACACGCCAGTCTCCGGTACGAATCTATTGGGAGATTGCCTACGCAGAATTCGCTCAGGTACCTGAGCTGATCGGCAGCTTTAAAATCTTTCTTGACAGCTTTCTTCGATGACAGCTCCTTCAATGACGGGTCCTCTTTTTCACATTTTTTTCCTTTCGTCCGAATCGCACCCACGGTCGTCTGCTCAGCAAAGAAAAACAAATTCCTCTTCGCCGCTGAGGCATGACAACTCCACAACCGTCGGAGAGTCTCCAATCGCACCACAGCAACAGGCATCCCGTCCGGCAACTCATCCCAGTGTCCCTCACACAACAGCTTCTGCAAACACGATAACCATACATGCCCGCCATCGTGCTCCGGAGTTGCCGCACAAGTCCTCATTGTCGCTCTTAAAAATTTTTACCAGGAATAATTAATTACTCCCCCGTCGGGGACGACAGACGTCACTCTCCAACAGAAGACGTCGGTTCGGAAACGTTGCCTTCGGTCGCAGAGACCTTCACGGTTCGGCGATGCCGTGGAAGAGTGACATTTTTGTGCGTACTATTCATGCCGGGTGGACGGACATGCGCAAGTGAGCTGGTCGTCAAAATTGCCTGGGGTGGGTGACAGGCAGGGCGACCCGGTTTATCTTGCGGTCATGTTCACCCCACGCCCACGACGACCTTGGCCACGCGAACCGGGGCAGTCGGGTGTTCACGTAATGACATGCAAAGACGCAATAACATGCAAGGACGTGCGTGCAAACGCGATGGTCGTGCAAAGTGGGGTGCAAGGAGGTCATCAGCAAGTAAGGTGGTCATGCAAGCGATGTGATCGTGACGTTGGGAACCTGTGCAAGCGGAGTGAGTGAGGTCGTCAGGGAAGTGGGTGGTCACTCAGGGATGGTCACCCAAGTAGAACGTTAATACAAACAGTCATGCGAGTGAGGTCATGAATCCATGACTGGGGGGTGATCACGGCAGCAAGGCGGGCGGTGTACAAGCGTGGCGGCCCTTGTAAGTGGGGTACCGGTGGGGGGGGGGG